TTCATTCTACTTTTTGCCTTGACATTTTTGCTGCTTTTAAGAGTATAAAATAGCTGAAAATTGTAGCTCATTACGAGTCATTTCAGTCACTTTGCCTTCTGTTTCGCATTCATTCTACTAGGTATTGAAAACGTTAAGTTGTTAACGAGTGATCTTAAGTTCGTACCAAATATGGTGGAAAATTTTTTCGGCACTATTTACCCTTTACTACCCCAATTTGTCGAGAATGGGCTGGATTTCTATCAATTTTTTTCAAGAAGATGAAACCGACTAGAAACCTGCCTAGAGGGACAATTTGACCCGCAGAACACGAATATCGCATCCACTCGTCATGAAAATGCCTAGTGATGCCTAGTGCCCACGCCTCAGGCGCCGGCACCAAATGTAGATGGGTCACCAATCTTGCTGAAGATTGTCCCTAAAAAGTGTGTTTTTGATTTTTATGACGAATGGATGCGATATCCGTGTTCCACGGGTCAAATTACCCTTCTAGGCCAGTTTCTAGCCGGTTTCATCTTCTTAAAAAAAATTCAATAGAAATCCAGGCTTTTCTCGACAAGGCGGGGCAGTAAAGGGTAAATAGTGCCATTTTTTCGATCCGTTATATTTTCAAATGCCTCTTCCTGAGAAGATGCCATCACCAACGTAAAGATACAACATATTTCGTTGATGAGTAGGATGCTCACAGCAAGGAAGAATGCTGATGTGGCATGGTTCATTATACGCAGGGATGCCGTGATCTTGAAGGGTGTAAGGATGTTCCACTTTGTTGCGGCTCATAGGCGACTTAGTCGGTCACGCAGACACAGAAATCAAAGTACATCTCGATGGTCTCACTGTAGCCGTATTTGGCTAAACGCCGTTTTAGTGCGCAGGTAAAGTAATACAAGAATTTATACGAAGTTGAAGAGATTATACCTCGTCGGTGACTTCGTTTCCTAAATAATCAGAACTAGGCCCACCAATCCTTCTGCTATACACTACACTGTACACTTAAGGTTTGGTGAGTATAGGGCAATGATGAAGAGAGCACATTCTTCCCTTTCATCGCTTTTCTGATCAAGTGTTTCTGATCCAACTTGAATTTCTCTTTCTTCTTTTCTTTTACTACGTAACCGTTGCGGGATGTACTGTAGCGTGTTTCGAAGTGATCGAAGCACCGTCCAATAAAACACTTCACCATCTCGATTTTACCTCATAGAATATTCTGCGATGTTTCAATTTCTGTAGAATATTCTCAATCTACATTCGTTCACTGACTTCGAGGTTGGGTCCACAGAACATAAGGTTTACTGTGAAGTCCAAATTGATTTCTGACGTGCAGGTGTTCACGATTATAATAGACTGGTCATTTTTCTCGATAATATGTGGGGTCGACTTTCACTTTGTCCGTTCGGGAGTGACCTTCCTTGCTGACAGCCAACTTCGATCTTGTTTATGGAAACATATCGAAGCTCGAGCGATTATCACTAGGATCGCCCAGCTTACACTGGGTTCCCCTTTTCCCTGCAACAAAAGTTTGACAGGTCTTTTTCAAACAAAGTCATTTCTGAGCCCTAAATTATTGTGGGGCCATGCCCGAAATATCGCAATATCTCCAAATTTGACACAAAGCCTAAAAGGAGGCAAGCCTGGCAGAGGTGTGCAACTGGTACTCAGCATGTGGTGATAGTGATCACGTCTGTGATTTCGAAGACTCGCGACTTTCTTCGAGCAATTGAATCTTCTCTTTTTCGAGTCTCCTGGCATAATTGCTTTTCTACATATAACTCAGCAACCGCATTAAAAATTAAATAAAAACCTGATGAGACAATCGAAGACCTGTACGGTCGTAATCAATCTGATAGACTAATAATAACGCCATTGCCGGGAGCCCTAATCCAAAAACATTCTTATCGTCGTGGATGTCCTTCAATCATTGATTAAGATTCTCATATTTCACTGATAGTGAGATACGTTCTGTTAGATCTGACATCAGAGTTAAGAGAAGACGTGATTGTTCACTTCGATACGTTTTAGTCACAATCTAACAGCAATGAGCAGACGAGTTTTTGCTCTCCTTGTATGGTATAGACTTTAATCTGTTTCCATCACTGCTATTGTCACGTTTTGATAATTCGCATTACCATCCCGGTGTTGTATGAAACAGAGCAATGTGTCAAGACTGCATCGTGAAAATACAGAAAGTGTTGGGAACTGAACGGTTCTTTGTTTTCTATTTCCCCTATGTTTCCTGTGCCTATCCGATCTTATCACTTCTTGCCAACCATTATCCACAAATCAGCCATCCACTGCTTCACAAGCTGAACTATCAAAGCTCCACAGTTAATAGGAAAATGGGGAGTTGACTAACGACCCTTGCATTTCGGCTCACATTACCAGTATCAATTGTTAAGATTTCCTGTCACCAACAATCCACTGCCTCGACACTCACAGTGTCAAACTGTCAGTGTTACAACGGCGGACGTGTGGGCCTAGGAATTCTTGCCTTCTGAGTCCACTTATCAGCCCTTATCTGCTGCTATCTGTTCTTGTCACCGACCTTCTCCTATCTCCCACATCACACATTGTCAAAGCACAAAGAGTACATCAAAGCTATAGGCTGTTGCCTTCCACTATGCCTACACCTCTTCAAATTTGAAGGTTTTATTTCTAAAGGAACAGGATTCATGAATTTCCGGAAAAGACGCGCCTAGCGAATAATATGTATAAAACGATGTTTCGACACCGTCTTAACAACAATAACTAGGTTCAGTTGCAAAGGCGATGAACTCACAGTTCAGCGTATCCAATTATTTTCAATCTGAAAAGGATTCATTGATTTTCTTATGGTTCTGAAAAGGCTATTCCAAGAGCGCCTCGTACGAGCGAGGTCGTAAAAGGAGTATATCAGAAAATTCTCCCTTATCTGTTTGTGATGCTGCACTTGTTTCGTTCACTGTTGCCGACCGTCATGAAAATCGTTCTTTTACTGGGTATGTCAAAAAAACTTTCGTTTTGACTTTCGAAAAACTTTCGACAAATCTTGACGCAACTTACTGATAAGTTCTATGAGATCGATACTCAGTTGAATTGAATTTTTATGAAAAAGGCAATAATTATCCTCAATCTTTTGACTTGCGTATGATGACACACCCGACATATCCACTCCTGGAATTAAACTTTTGGCACTTGAGGCAGTTTTTGTGAAGCAACATCTTTATGGTAGAAGTCAAAATACTGGTTTCCTAGAACCAACCAGTATTCTCTGTTCTGACCAATTATTAGCTCTGACGATCCTAAATACTACGATCCAACTTGCATGGCATGTTTCTTTTTTTCCAACTCTTTTCAGTCTACTTCCGGATTGAGCCGTGCAATGTCTCAAAACTGCATTTTTTGGAATCTTTTCATCTACTATACTATTCTATAGCTGCGGAACAATTTTTCGAGGCATAAAAGTGAAAAAGGCTGCACCACAACTCCGACGTTGTTAGTACCGATGTAAGAGAACACTGAGGGGATGAGATGTAATTTAGAAACCTAAAGTAAGAACAGAAGACCCAAGTTCAACTCAGTTAGCCAGTCAAGATAGTACAATCAATGAAATTCGGGCTGCATTGCAAATAATGTTGCTGATTTTTCAGATGAACTTTTTTTGCAAAAAAAATTCATCTAAAAAATCAACAACAGGTTTTATCCTAGGTATGACACTTCACTATTATTAACTGCTGACCCTTATTTTTAGATTTTCAATGTTGTCCATCACTTTTTTGAATTGTCTCTGTCGGCGGTTATGATTACTATTATCATAGACCACAAAAGTACTCAGTGTTCATGCTGAGGCTGGAATTTTTTAGGAAGGTAATGAATGAAACTGCATTTCTATGGTCCCTGCAAGTATGTATACCACTAAAAGTTAGGAGAAATCAGCGGGATTCTGTAAGCCGGACCTGCCACCATTTATATCTCACTAAAGCTCTCTATATTTCGAACATAATGTGGCTTTCTTAGATTTATCAGAAGAGCATTATCATTTTACTGAACAAGGTTCATGCTCTCGCAAACAAGAGGCATAGTCTCTTGAGCGCTGGGTCATCGAACATTCCTCTTTTTCACATTGTAGAAAAGTGGTTCTTCGTAGAACTGGCTTACTTTGTTATCCAACCAATACCTTATCCAGCAATCCAACCAAGTCTATGACCGGCGTGCATGAAGGAAGAGCCAGGCAGACCCATGATATGAGTAGCTCGCAGCCCGGCCTCGAACTCACCATGAGTTGGTTGAGTACATTCTCTCAACGTGGTCACTTCCCCCCCCCCCTTCCCCTTCCCCTAGACAAAATGTGACATCATCTGGAACGTCTTTACACCACGCCACCATCTCTAAGTTTTAACCCTCAGTGCACCATTGTATGAATTTGTGAATCCTTTCAGGGTGGATTTGAAAGTGAAGTTTTCAGATTATGTGGAATAATTATAATGAAAAATGCACGTTTATCATAATTTACTTTATTTCAGGTGTTGCCATAGTAGTGGCTCAGGGACAAGTGCAGGATAATTGCGATTCAACGCTCTTCAAACATTGTAATGTGGCTTTGGGGACATTTTGGAACATCGAGTACGTTAGTATTCGCTTACCACAATTCATTTCAGTACCATTTCTATGCTCCTAAGAACGGCCGAGTCTCTCACCCAGACTACTCGGCACCGATGCTATTCCACTCTTCTTTTCTTGCTTGGTAGAGTTTTTGAAGGCCTATCTTGGTCCCAATGTATGCACACAAAGCCACAAGGTTTGAAATGCTCTGAAGTACGTATCCCAGAATTCTGTGTTACTAAATACATTTGTCACCTGAGAAGAGGACCAGTCCAATTCTAGCAATGAGGGTGGCGAGATCCAAATCTGCATACCCAATTTTGTTTCTCTGCCTGTATTTTTTGTTCTCTCTAGGCACATGCCTGACTTTTTCATTGTTGTCGTTGTAACGTGCTTAACAAGATTGATTCAGTAGCTCCAACATTTGGAACGATCTTGATCAGCTTGACAGTGCCTTGATGTCTTTGATGCGACCACCATATGGTATCGATAATTACGTGAACATTTGCAAGTGAGTTGGATAGGGAACGGTAAAGAAGTGAGGACTGACAATGTTAAATTTTTGAGTCCGTATAGCTTCTCATGAATCTATAGGGCTCATGAACTTTCTCGAAGCTTCACTACTTTGCGACAACGACAACGGTAGCAGAAATTGTTAGTTCTAATAGGATATCGTATTTAGTGGATTCTCTAACTTCTACTCGTGCCTCGGTCCCCAAAACATTCAATATTGCCTTGGACTGATAGGACTGGTGGGAATGGGCAAGTCACCTCAGGACGCTTATTCTTACGAAGGATTTCTAGCCGATTGGCGGTTCAAATGCGGTGCGGGCTTTTTCGGTGAGTGCCGTAAAATGATTCTTGGAAATGCGGACAAAAAAGGTTGCATCATTGATATGGGTGCGGAACGAGGCAACCGAGCGACATGCTCTCCCTCACCTTGAAATCATGTTTTGCCCACTCCTCGAGGAAATGGTGGTTAGTAGTGTTTGGTTACGCTAGTCAATTCTACTTCAAAGTTATTTTAAATAATCATGATTTGTACTACATCCCGATGATAGCAATATTGATTGTTAGTATTCAACGATGGCGCCATGTCTTCTTTTTTCTTGTCCCAGTCTGCAGCTGTATCGGTTTAAATTAGAAAACTATTAAAATTGTGCCAGGCCGGGTGGAATTCTCAACAAAATATTAATTTTTCCTGAATCTTCCTCTATGCATAACGGAAAGGCTCCAATTTTCAAGACATCTCGCCACCGTGCAAGGAAACCTTCCGAGAGATCTTTCTTTCTTGACTAGGTAATCTCATGAATTTATTTATATATTTATTTATTTACTTATCTACTGTCGCGGCAGATGAAAGGGCAAGAAGTAAGTGTTAAGGTATCGTCAAGTTAACAGTAGTATAGCACATAAAGCACACCTCTGATATAAATAAAATAAATGATACAGTGTTACAAAATACAATGGATACAATGAAAGCGTGAAGAGTTTGAAGTGGGGAAAGTGGGGGGAAGTCAACGGGTCGCCCGGGAGAGGAAGGGCAGAGCCCCGGCCAAAACACTGCAAGCAGCTAAGGGGAATGCAGCTAGGAGTGCAAAAGTTTTGTCAATCAGTTGTTGCTTCGTTCATCGGAATGTCTCAAAATCTGATTTTTTAGTGTGCCCCATTTTTAACTTCGCCCGCCCTTAATAGGACGTATGGGTTTCCCGTTTCAGATGTGCCTGCAAAGTTTGTCGACTCCGAGTGCTGCGATTGTCTGCCGCTCCCTGTGTGAGGCGGATTAAGATAATGACTGACGCTGCATACATGCATTTTACAATCACTTCAGAACGGTCGAGCAAACTATTTCTAGGTGAAAAAACCGTCTATGAAAAATGAAGCTGGAAATCCTACCTTTTCACAATCCACTTTTTTGTTCTATCTCGAGCACCGAGGAGCTAATAACATTCGAAAACGTGCAACGACGAGCCACCTGGTCTGAATAGAAAACTTTGACGCGCGTTTGTCGGGCTCTAGGTAAGTGAACTTGAGATGGTTTCCATCGTTTAATTCCACTGGCCAAGTTCTGGGGTTGGCTGGTGTAAGCGACAACTGTAAGTATTCAATCTGCTTCCAGTGATTCATAAGGAATATGTTTTAACGTGGCCCACGAAGCTGGGAGTAGATAGTCGTACTACCTCAAAAGATAGTATCACCCACAACGAATCCAACCAAGTGATAACTTCTGAACGATGAATGATGCTTAGAAAATATCTTGCTGACAATCTCAGCCGCTACACTTACGCATTCGCCTCACCATAGAAGATCATGGTAACTGGTGTGTCCGATAATCGTTGATAAAGTAACGAAGGCCACGTGCATGCACACGCTCACCTATGCCCTTTATGTCCGGAGTAAAAGCCTATCAACCTTTCATCGCATTCAGATCGTTTTTACATTTTTTTACCTCATCGTTTTCATTTATTTGATCCAATCTAATTATTTTTTTGATATTAGCCGTCTACGAAAACATCACTCTAACAGCTTGTACGCAAAGCACTTACGTTAACTATAACGATGCAATGACGGCTACTATTAACGTCTATAAAAGGAATGTCACCGCCGATACGGATAACGCCTGCACGTGAGTAGTCTTCTTTTTTATTTGAGTATAAGTTGAACTCGATTTGATTCTCTTAAATGCTTTGCTTCTCCAATAGGTATGCGCAGAACCTTATGGATTCCTTTGGCTCAGTCTACCGCAATGGAGCGTGCAGAGGTCCAACGGCGGTTCGTTTTTGGGCATCCTCATCATTTCTAACTTAAGTTTGCTATATCGCGATTCAGAACGACGCGCAATGGTACGGCTGTAATTCAGCACGTGAATACACAAATGCCCAGTTCAAGCATTGTCAGCACTCAACCACTTGTCAAAGTAAGGTTTGCAGGTTTCTTACGACCGTTTGTAAGAATTGAGGCACAAGGGATGTTTCTGCAGCACCTACCCTACCCAATCGAACCGAACCGCTATCCCTCGGAGATTCATTATCGGTGATTTCTTTGAACTTAGTTCCCTTTGTTGGGAACGATCACATCAGAGTTCGGAAAGTCATCGCCGGATCCCAGCAGTTGTTTAGGAAGGTGAAGAAAGAACTTAAACCCTAACTTTAACCCTGATTGCCTAGGCAAGAGAATAGTCTCAGCACATCGAATTGTTAGTTTTACAACATGAGAAATAGCCACAACGTGGGAAGAGCTCTCGCCCAAACCAGGCTGATAACAGCCTCACATAGAGGTGAACGTCTTTGCCGGGATTTCGCGTTTGTTTCGGGGTGTCGCAAGTCAGGCACATAAGAGCAGTGCACATTATGGGTAGCGATGAATCAAATCAAGAGTCTCTGATGCTCAGTAAACATGAAATGATATTAATAAAATACGCTTTGTGAAGTAGCAGCAACGAAATAAACAACACAATTCACCTCGATTCTGATATGGAAAAAACTTTATTCTTATCCCATCGGAATCGTAGCGCTAGAAGACAACGCAATAGAGATTCGGAAGAGGCGCAGAACTGCATTTCGTCCTCCCAGTTCCGTTTTCACGTTACTTTTCATGTTAGATATATTGTAAATGGCTTGTGGCTATTTCCATAAATCAGACTGTAGTTCACGTTATTTTCAGCAAGATTGTTCAACCCGTGAGCTTTGCAGAGGAAGAGCAGCGCAGAAACATCACTGTGTATTTAATCGATAGATAATAAAATGTTTCTTAGCTCTTTATTTTTCTTTGAATCGGGTATGCTGACAAAAAGATAAATTAGTTTGGTGAGCAATCAACTTTTTCTATCAAGCACTTGATGTTTCATACACTATGGGTGAAAGTGTCGTTTCTGACACTCTTCTTACCAGTCTTATTCGTCCCGTCATGACGTTGATGCAAGAAACCAATGGCAGTGAAGATGGAACTCTCTCCTCGCAGACTCTTTGAACCACAAATGATTCCAGAAATTTCTCAACTCTTCACTTCTATTTTGGAGCACTACATTGACAAAAATCGATCCAACTGAGCAGTCCGCAGTGCAAACCTCCTATAATCATAGACCAGAAAACCTTCGATAGTCCATATACCAGAAAATTGCAGGCAGAGTGACTATTTGATAGGAAAGGCAACAATCTACTAGGAAGAAGACAGTGAGATGTTCACACTGGGAGAGAATTAATGATGACATTGTAAGTCTGAATGCACAACTTCTTCAATGCATCGTAAGCGAATGTTTCTTTGCCCTCTGATTTGAACCTTCACGGTAATAATGCACCAAAGTCACCATTGCGCTGCACTACAATGGTAAGACACTGAAACTCGATAGTAGGCATCATTACTTCGAGATGTGTTTTCGATGTTGTCTCGCACAAGAGAAAATGTTCTGACTGCACGATGTAATCACATAGTTAATCATATATATTTTATTTTGTCTTGCGCCTCGAACAAAACAGATCATACCCCATATAAAGCATGCAGTCGAGCTACCTAACACTGGGCCGCTTAGCAAAGCCATCCAGCGTCGGATCCCGCCTTTTATACCAGCGGCTCAGCGGCGATTAATGACAACACATCGAGCTTCGCTACAATCTCGAGGCCAAAGTATGGAGGCCAAGATTTTGCGAAGAGGCATCCCCTCCTCACCCCACCACAATTACTGAAGTGCTTTCCGATGAGCCTCGTAGCATACCTTGAGGTTTCGTCAAAACAACGTAATTAATAAGACGCATGAGCACTGCACAGACATAAGAGTTTCTTTAGAATGACCAACACAAAATTCCCATTCAAAAAGTTATAGTCAGTAAGTGCGTATGAATTGAACAAGTAGATATGATGTGGATGGTCATGCAGGTAACCATGAAGCGGGTAATAATGAAAAAGGTATCAAATATGATAGAGATTGTAGAGCATGCAATATTACTGATACAATTAACGTTATTGGTTCAAGTGTCGAAGGTTTGAAAATTCACTCATACAAACAGCCAGGAACATATTGTAAAACTAGAAATATAGTACATTGTCTAGCTTGTAAAAGGTGTGCAATGCAGCACATTGGAATGACCACAAGAACATTAAGTGAACACCAAAAAAGGTGACGCAATTAAATTACTTATTACTGCTATCCATCTAGTCTCAATGATAATATCAAAGGATAAGGTAAAATTACTAACATAAGTAATCCTATTAACAAAAAAATACTACACCATGTTTTGTACTTAAAATAATCGAACGAAGGATAAACAGATGTAGAAAAAACAAAAGAATTAAAAAAAAAGAAAAGACAGTCACAAAGAAGAACTGGAAATAACAATCAATGGTAAGTGCATATGTGAGGTAGAAGATTACGATAAATTTGTTAACAGAGACATACAGTAGCGCTAAAAAGTCTTCGGTGGAATGCTTTGACGCTTTTTCGTTTATAACGTTTTTCTTAGTAGACCAAATCGCGCGAAATTTGGTTATGTTCAACTAAAGCATATTTCATCCTACCCAACACGATTTGACTGCGAAGCTGCAATATCCGCAGTTAGAGCAAGGTGTTTGTTGCGGTAGCAGATTTTGCTAAAACTAAAGTTGTTGACGTCTGCACGTATGTGCGTTTTTCCCATCTATTGTAATCGGCGTTACCGCTCGTACACTTTAGACATGAAAAAAGGAAGGAGATTCTAGAAGGACCATCATCTGTATTTTCAGTCGATTCTGAGTTTATGCTCTTTGGAATATTTGGAACATGATCAGACTGAGGGTTAATAGTGGTAAATATTCACAATACCCCCACGCTCCAAATATAGAAATTTCGCTCGATTAGATCCAGTAGGAAAGAAGTTACGAATAATAAGTACGACTGATGAACCATTTCACCGAAGACTTTTGAGCGCTACTGTAGGTCATATAATCACAGGTGATCCCAATTCAATCAAAGAGATCAGGTTAAGAGAAATACTTAAAAAGGTACTAAATATAGAATGGACCTAGGGATAACAGGATATGAAGTGAGAGAGATTTATGATAGTATTATTAAAAAGGTTATGTCACACTACATTAAAAAATATAGTATCAATAAAGAACAAATTGAAAATATCACTAGATATTTTTATACCTGTTATCGTAAAAGTAGAACCAATACTTGCAAACCACGCACTTAAAAATGAAAATAAATTTGCACTCAAGCCAATATCGCGATACCAAAAATTTTTTATCTCCTGCCCACTAGACAAAGCTGGCAATAACTATGGAATCATTTGTAAAAATTTTTACATCTTAACTATTATGGAAGAAATGAGTATCACTTATAATAAAAACAGTGAGTCTTTCGGTGATGAGCATACAAATAATACTCAAGAATATGTTGCTACTGAGTCTCTTAAAGACCTTATTCATGGACGTACTAACATTTGTCCAAGAACTAAACTAAAACATAATGAAGAAGTCAATTTACCCGTCATTTATGCTATACCAAAAATGCATAAAAACACTGTTGAATTCAGATTCATTACAGGTGCTCATAACAGCAGCTTGAAGCCTATAGCTGATGAATTGCAAGTAATACTTAAGTATATAAAGGAACATTCTAGAAAATATGGTGAAGTTATTCAAAAATCAAAAGGAACTATAAGAACTTACTAGGCCGTCGATAATATTAATAATATAAATCATGAACTCACTAGCTTTATCCATAACAGTAAAAAAGTTTTTACAGCAGATTTTACAGACATGTTTACAAATCTCGAACATAAACTTATAATAAAAAATATTAAAAGCGTACTCAATATTTGTTTCAAAACTTCTGGTAAACCATCTATAGCAACAAAAATGGGCATCATGTTTTCTATACTAGAGGAGATAACCTTAAGTCTAATTTCAGAACTTACGATGTGGTTGATTTAATTCACATGGGTAGAACTCTTTTTATGTAATAGTTACTGTGTGTTCGGTGGCTGTGTGTTCGGTGGTAATATATTCAAGCAGGATAAGGGGGTTCCACGAGGTGGACATTTCAGCTCTTTCTTAACTGATCTTAGACTAGCTTACATGGAACATGAATGCCATCAATACTAAATTTAACAACCATAATTTCTTTGTCCTTTACAAATATATGGACGATATCCTTATTATACATAACCAGAATGAAATAGATATAGAAAAACTTTGGGAGTTGTTTACAGAAATAAATCAGAATATAATAAAACACATAACTTCAGAGTTGCTAGATTTCCACACCATGACTGTAACATATCTATTGAAACTGAAAGTGCTGTAATATATACAGAAAGTTTGAGGATAGCCTATACTTGTACTAAATCCTGCACATTTGCAGAATAAAACAAGAGAAATGATAGATGCACTCATATACAATGGTTATAGTGAAGAAGTTATAGTGGCCAATATATTATAGTTAAATGTGTTGTGAATAAATTTGTTGGTTATAAGTTTAACCTTTTTGAATGTTATGATACCGCCAAGGATTTTGTTTAAAAAAGTTTTACGATTGTCAGTTCAAGCATTCTGTGTATATAACTACACTGGTCTTCCAAACACATAATCTTGCTTTTACACACATGCATACATACATACATACATACATACATACATACATACATACATACATACATACATCTAGTTGTTTTACTTTCTATATAGAATAGCGCTTACATGCCATTGCGCCCCAGTCACATCCATTTAGCTGCATAATTGACTACTACTTGCATTCAAATAGGTACTTCCTTTCTTCTCCGTTATATTAGTTTCTCCTTATTTACTAACATTTAATTTTCTACTCTAATCATTTCCTCTCCTACCCTACTTCTCCATTTCAATATATCTTCCTCAGATAGCTATTGTCTACTCGTGTATTTGTTGATTGTTTGAGACTTCTAATTGGTTCTTGTCTATACTGATCTTCTTCTTTCTTTCCTTTTTTATTTAACTACTCTCTG